CAACAGATATATCTGCAATTTCTCACAATAAATTCATTGGAAAAAATAAGTTTCGTTTTGCAAACCGAGCAAATTCTCACAGCTTCCATTGATTTTATAACAACTGCCTTCCACAAAAGGAAACCTTGTAACTAGTTATTCAATCATTTATCTATCATTATTTTTTACTTTAGCCATATATATAAATCTTGATTTTAGTGCTGTATATTTACTATGTTGTTGCATATTATAGATGAGTGATTAGATTTATTTTGCAAGTAGTGTCTGCCTAAGTCCTTAAAGACTAGTTACAATCTGTAAAAGAAAAGAGTAATTATATATCATATCCAACATTAAATTAACAATAAAATGTGAAAAAAGAAAAAAAGTAATGCAAGAAACTGGACATGTACACTCTTCAGTATGATTTGTCTCGCGTTGTTGCTTGTGTTTCCTTTGTGTTAGCTAGATATACAAGTACTCGATGATCAGGGTCCTTCTCCTCAATTGAATATGAAATTCAAGGACTTTTCCAGGACTTTTCTAGGTCCATTTTTTTCATGGATGCATTTTAAACAAAATATGACACCAGATTTTAAGAGGTATACAATAAAAGGTGAAAATGGATAACACCAGCTTTAAGTGGATTTCTCAAAAGCATTTTTCATAAAATTTGTTCTTATTTTCAAGCAATAAACTCTCATAAGTCTGTCAAGCCCTAAACAATTGAAATAGATGGTACAACAAGAGCAACAGTGAATATAATAGTACATGTCTGTGTGACAAAACAAACTAATACAATCTCCGGTACCTCGAGCTTAACATGAAACAACGATTCTCTGCATTTTGTATCATGACACTGGCGCTTTTCATGAAAAAGGTGTTGACAAAAATTGATTCATCCAAGGTAAATTTCCATGACTTTTCCAGGATTTCTTTTTGAAAAATACGTTTTTTTTTAAGGTTATCCAGAACTGGAATGTGAAAACGCTTGAATTCCAGCTGGCGGACGGGCCCTGTGTGATGCCGCAATGTAAACTTTCCTCCTGTATGTCTTACCATTAATCTATTTATCTCGACTATCTCTGTTGACTGCTGCTGCCGGCCAGTCAGGACCAGGTAGTTGCCAAATAATGTGCCTGTTGTTGACCAATCAGGACCCGGCAGTGAGTAGAATTAAGTATCTGCTGTCTTTGCTTCGCTCCCATCTACATGTTTATTATTATTATTATTTAAACAAACTTAAGTCTCATCCTCACTCTCTCTCTCGCAATCCCTCCGATACTGCTCGTTGCAAAGGCAGAAGCACTGCAATTCCAACAATAAAGCATTCAGATGAATGCAGGTAATCAGTGTTACAAACGGTGATGGCATCACTGGTTGTAGGACCGTGTTATCACTGTTTAATTAATGCTCAATTTCCACCATGCAGGGAAGATGCCAGATGCAGGGAATTCAATATTGCATTTTGACTCTCCATGCTCAACACAGAAGTTAAATGGTTGCAGATAATCACGATGGAAAGTCGCACGAAGTTAATCACACAGTAACGAAACAGTGACACGGCATCAAACTGCGTTATTCCTACAGTGACAAACGTGAATCAGTATTTTAAGCAACCGACCGATCGCGAACCTGACTGATAATTTGATGCCTGAAATTATAATGTGATATACTTGTCGAAATACCTGATCGTCGGGAAATACGGTGGAATTATTCCTTCCGTTCGTTTACCGATTGTATAATGATTGCATTTGCAAGGATTGCTGATAAACCTATAATAGTTATCTTCCATGACAAAGCCGTGTGAAAGCATAAGCAGCCGAGATCTATTTCCCTGCTGTATTATAATTGCCTGTGAATTTGGTTTCTGACTTTGCAAATATATCCCCGTCGTGTTGATTTTGAAAAAAAAAACAAAAAAACATCAGAAATAATGCACCTGATTATTCATGAGAAGCGGGGTGTAGCTTCCGGGCGCGTAGCTATGAAAGGTGGCTTTATTAACATCAATATTATAAACTCACGAGTAATAACAAATTTTAATTTTAGATTTTTACTTAATCTTTTTTTGAGATATTACTGATATAATTATTTATTCACGAGTATTAACACATTCTAATTTTAAATATTTGCTTAATCTTTTTTTCTTTTCTTTTTTTTTAATTATCACTGATATAATGATTTACTGATGAGAAATATTTGCACAGTGGTTCTCCTTTTTCATAAAGTCCTCACGTTCCTCCCTCCTTTTAGCACACAGTGAATATATTATGTAGAATTATTTGGATATATTGACAATAATGGCATGTACGGATGACTCAGACACAGTTCTTAGTGTGTGTGTGTGTGTGTGTGTGTGTGTGTGTGTGTGTGTGTGTGTGTGTGTGTGTGTGTGTGTGTGTGTGTGTGTGTGTGTGTGAGAGAGAGAGAGAGAGAGAGTGTTTAAACTTTCAAATTTTGGTAGAATACTTCATGCCTTCCCTCCTGGATCAAGCTAGCGCTCCCCAAAAGTGGGAACCAAGTTTTAACCCATTCGCGCCGGGCGTCACGTATAGGTGACGGGCCCACTGTGAGTTTACTTGTTTGATTGTTTACAAACATAGATGGCTCCACTTGCATTTGTACTGCCTGTCTCGTCTGTTTACCCTTTTCTTTAATTTACGAAATTATTTTGCGTTATCTTATTTTGTTGTTACTAATGTTTATAACATTATAGGTATTATAATGTTTATAATAAAAATAACCATCGATATTCATAGCACTAGTAAAAATACATTTTCCCGCCAAATGAAATCAGGTAAAGCAGAGTCATCTAGTGTAGAGAAATTTCATTAAAAACTATAAAAATTGAGCACAGCATTTCCCCCATTTTTTGTTCATTTTTACCCGGCGCGAATGGGTTAAGCATGGCTATTAAATATGGATAATATCACTCTTTGAATAGCCTTTCCTTCTTTGTAGATTGAATTCATTTGAAACTAATCTCTTGAGAAATGAAATATATTTCACCTACTGTTCAGTGTAAAGAGAAACAAAATATCAAATGAATATTTTTTTGTTTTCATTCCCTCTTCAGTGATAATTTATGAGGAAAATCAACATATTTACAGACATTTTAATACAGTAGGAAGTATTTTGAGATACGAGCATTGTTTAAAAGGAAATAAAGCCGGGCTAGAATCCAAACGAACTTCTTTAAACTAAATATAGTTACGGCATGACTTCCTGACGAGGCTATTGCCCTAGTGCTTATACACTTCGTTCTTCACCGCCACTTCATTATTCTGAGAATGCAGATTTTATTTAAAACACTTGACCCACGAGGTTTTTAGTTTCACTTTTTTTTTTTCGGAAACAAATTTTGTTGTTAATTGAGGATTTTCTATATTTAGCTCCTAGGATTCTTAAAGAATCTAAAATAATTCCGTAGTATTTCCCAGTGAGCAGTTATGTTGACAGTCATATTTATGACAGTGTAGTCTCAGGTATCAGGATTCGATTCGACAGTATTGGCCAATCATTCAGGGACGCGGTCGTTCGGTTGGTGAAAATACCGTCTTCAAGTTTGTCGTCGTGTTTATTCAATAATTATTTACTCATAAATCATAACATTTACACTTTTTGTAATTGCTAGTTAGAGACATTATTTAATGGTAAAAATGTTAAGCGTTTTAAGTGTTCTAACATTTTTTATCCCACGAGGTATTCGCTGCTAATGACCTTAGCTGTTGCAGATTTTAAACAATCAACAAATCAATCTGTTACCGTGTCACAACAGGATTTATTCTATTAATTTCCGCATGACGTTCCTCTGCGATTATTTGCACCATTTTTTTTTTTTTTTTTTTTTTTTTTTTTTTTTTTTTTTTTTTTTTTTTTTTTGAGTTGAACATCGAGAGTCAAAGTGCAATATCAAAAATGAATTGTTAGTACTATTGCAGTGGCAACTTCCCTGCATGATGGAAACTGAGCACTAACCCAAAACGGCAATAACACGCCGTGAAAAAGACTGTTGACTTCACTGCTAGTAATACTGTTGATTTGTTCTGGTTATCTTAATTTCATGTCGATCGTGTTGCACAATTTGTCTCCGTCGTTGCTACCTTTGCAAGGATGAGGTGATGATGAGACAGAGATACAAGCGTTTAGGTTCCTAAGTAATGATGCACCATGCAGCGAGAAGCTACGTTCGTAACCGGAACATGTACATCTAAATGACAAACATGAGACGCAAAAACATATAGGGAAGATAGTACATGTCCACCTGGCCCCGACCTACACATGTCGCACACCAAATGCTGTCTCTTTCCCAGGACTCGGCAGTGAAATGTGCCTGCTGCCGACCAGAAGGACGTGGCTTTTCAATAGTAACAGCCCTGGCCTCGACCTATACAAATCGCACAGTATTGCGAAAGGGCCATGCGACGTCCAGCAGTCACCCCCTGTCTCTCCGGCCACACTGATTGGTCCGCTAATGCAGGCTTTCCAATTATCCGAATTCTTGGCATCTTCCCGGCCTACTATGTTCAGCTAACCCCACGTTAAAAAAAAAAAAACGAAAGAAAGAAAGAAAGAATTTTTAAAAAGAGTGTATGGGGGATACTCAGACAAGTAGGAGACAGAGTAGGACAATGATAAACGAAGAGGGAGATATACAGGAGAAAGAGATAAAGAGGGATAGGAGGATTTGAAGGAGTACAAGAGAAAAATATGACGGAGGTAAGAAGATGTAAAGAGATAAAGAGAGGCAGAGAAAGTTGGAAGCATACATAGCAAGAGAGGGTTAGATGTACATAGGTAAAAAAGAAAGAAAAGGGAAGAAATATCCCAAGAGCAAAGCAGAGAGAGAGAAGGGGGGTGAGACACATGATAATAAAAGAGATGAAAATATGAGAAGAGAAAGAGATCCGTTTCTTTTACTTTAAATGTCAAACGCTTCCATTATGCAGCCTTTCCCTGAGACGCCGCTTCGGACTCGGCGAAAAGTCCGCCCTAACTTTCGTCCCGAGGGAGGAAAA